TCTTTATCTAATCTTACCAATGCCCCTTTAATTTAAAGATTCTAGCAGTTGAAGATTCTTTATATAAAATACTTTCAAATAATATCCCTTGATTGAATGATTAATCTTACAGATTCTGAAATAACTTCATAACAAGATTATTTAACAAGAAATTGAACAGTGTTTTATTTGTTTTGTATTTGGTGCCTGGGAAATAAAAACTTGTTAAAATATGGGTTTAAATCCAAATTGGACTTTTTGTTGCCTAGTTCAAAGACATTAATTACTATGCCTAGTGAATTACTTACATTGTAATTTCTTTTCTTTCAATAATCATTGAAAATCTCATTTAGTTGAAAGTTGTGGCAAGTGTCATACAAAATGCAGGATATGCCTACTTTACATGTATAACAACTGATGTCACTTCTCATTTACTATAAATCACCTTTAGTTACAAGTATTGACAAGTATCATACACTAGGCAGGATATATCTAGTGTAGAACACCGGATATCACTCCTCATTTCCTAGAAGAGTTCATGCAGTGAACAATTATTCCTGTATTTTTCCTGTTCAACACAATCATTCAGATAGTCTACAGCATCCGTTAAACAATTTTTTTTTAAAACTTGTTTTTAAAAAATTCCTTCAGTACAAACAAGAAAAATCATTTTATTTATTTTTCAACTGAATTCCGATAATAAAAATGGAAACATGTGAGATATTATTTTAAAAACTGTAGCATGTAATTCCGAATGCCAAACAGTAATTGAGATAGAATAGAGCTACAAACAGGCTAAGATTACGGTAAGATTGACTGATGTTTACGTTCACCCCTGACTCGGAATATTTCAGTGAAATAAACCATATTGTGATATAAAATGTAGGTATTGACAGTAATACAGGGTGGATGAAGGAAGTCTAAGGTTAACAGTGCACAATTTATCTGCTTCTTTATTTATTTTATAAAAGATTTGGTTAGAGAGAGAGAGAGAGAGAGAGAGAGAGAGAGAGAGAGACCTACATTTAGTTCAGTTTTATTTCAATAATCTTTTTGTACATTGGGATGTTTAACCGGGAATTAAAACCATGCCACTTGACATAATGCGCACGTTAAGCTATTTGGCAACCAAACCCTAAAGGAAATGAAATGAGGTTGAAAAGTCCTACTGGTCTACAGAAGAAGGGCATATACCATGCAGAGTGATATGATGGCAATATTGTCTGGACAGTATGTACTTACTTTTCATCAAATTCTTACGGCCAAGGGTTCCTTTACGTGCACTCCAATGCCAAATGGGAATCGATTTTACATTCCATCCAAATGACTAGATAATTTTCCGTGTTGGTTTTAAAGGAAATTAGAGCGGTGGCTGTTTATAAGTGGACATCATGTTTCATGTTATAAAGGGACATCATGTTTCATGTTATAAAGGGACATCACGTTACAGGTTATAAAGGGACATCATGTTACAGGTTATAAAGAGACATCAGGTTACAGGTTATAAAGGGACATCATGTTACTGGTTATAAAGAGACATCAGGTTACTGGTTATAAAGGGACATCAGGTTACAGGTTATAAAGGGCCATCAGGTTACAGGTTATAAAGGGATATCATTTTACTGCTTATAAAGAGACACCACGTTACAGGTTATAAAGGGACATCATGTTACAGGTTATAAAGGGATATCAGGTTACAGGTTATAAAGGGACATCAAGTTACAGGTTATAAAGGGACATCATGTTACAGGTTATAAAGGGACATCAGGTTACAGGTTATAAAGGGACATCATGTTACAGGTTATAAAGGGACATCATGTTACAGGTTATAAAGGGATATCATGTTACAGGTTATAAAGGGACATCATGTTACAGGTTATAAAGGGACATCATGTTACAGGTTATAAAGGGACATCACGTTACAGGTTATAAAGGGATATCATGTTACAGGTTATAAAGGGACATCATGTTACTGGTTATAGAGGGATATCATGTTACAGGTTATAAAGGGACATCATGTTACTGGTTATAAAGGGACATCATGTTACTGGTTATAAAGGGACATCATGTTACTGGTTATAAAGGGACATCAGGTTACAGGTTATAAAGGGACATAAGGTTAATGGTTATAAAGGGACATAAGGTTAATGGTTATAAAGGGACATCATGTTACTGGTTATAAAGGGATATCAGGTTATAAAAGCACCTTATTAATTTTTAGCATTTTCCAAAATTCTATCCGGATTATTATCCTTATTGTTGTTAAATTTTTGGACGCTCTTAATCGTAACGTCAACTGGCAGACTATTGCAACTAATGGTGACTGACTTGTATTACTATGTTGCTAGTAACGGAAAAATAGGTTGCTGAACCGATTGACTTTGTTAAATACCCAAAGTAATCCGATTTTAGTGATATTGTGTCCTACACGAAGTTTAAACACTAAACTCCTAAATCACAAAACATTTCTTAGCTTAATTCTTATTACATTTCATATCGATTTTTTATTTATCGGGATCAGAAAAGCGAGGCCATAAACTTAAAAAAAAAGAATGAAGATGAACTGAAATGAACCGATTGTTTTAAAAACGTAAATAAATATAAGTATAATCTTCTATCCATATTGTAAAATTAATCACGGTACTTTGTCTAAAGTAAAATCCAGGTCTGAAAATTACTATTTTAATTTTTAAGTCGTCTTTCCTTCTTTATGTAGTTCTTAACCATTAAAATATATTGTATATGAAACAAATATTATTTCCATTTTGTACTTTTAAATATTCTGTAGAGCAAGAATTACAATAAAAATAGGACAAATAATCTTGAGGGGCCGACTTCTATGACCGGATAATAAGATCGGCTTTATGATCGTGATAATATTTAGAGTTTGAATAAGATCGGCTTTATGATCGTGATAATATTTAGAGTTGGAATAAGATCGGCTTTATGATCGTGATAATATTTAGAGTTGGAATAAGATCGGCTTTATGATCGTGATAATATTTAGAGTTGTAATAAGATCGGCTTTATGACCATGATAAGTCAGATCAGTTTATGTACAGCCAGGACCTAGTTTTAAAATGGTGTAAATGGAATGAAATAGAATTTAAGGTCTTACACTTTTAATGAGAGAGAGAGAGAGAGAGAAAATGGGGTTTAACATCCACTTGACAAAAATTAGGTAATTTCGGGAGTAACATATGGTTCAATTTTATTTCAATAATTCGCTTGCACATAGGGGTTTTTAGCAGTGGGAGGAAGCTGGAGCACCCAGAGAAAACACACGAGGTTGGACAGGCGACCCAACTCCTTGTCACATACAACCAGGGAATCGAAACCACGCCAGTTAACTCAGTGACAGACCTTATGATGCAACACGCACTCGCTAATCATTCGGCCACCCAACCTCTATATTTAGAGTTGGAATAAGGGAGGAGATTATTATATGTACAGCCAGGGCCTAGTTTTAAAATCAAGTAAATGAAATGAAAAATGGAGTATAAAGGGACCATTCTGATTTTAACAGAGTTTCAGAAATAAAAGTCTGTGTACGCATAAAATTTAAACGCCAAAATATAGAGGAATGGTGTATTTACCATGTCTGAAAATATTGAGTCATTTAGACGTGAATGCCAAAACCACTTATCCGGACACATAACCCTTTTAAGATTTTGGGTCAATTCTTTCGTTGAGTGAGCTGATAATCTATTGCCATTCCTTTAAAAGTCTATACAGTGCATGAAGCACGTGCTATACTTGATAACGAAAGGTAAATTTCACCTACGCGTTATTTTCATAAAACAAAAGTCTGGTTTTATCCAGACACCATATAATACAGCTTGGGACACCGATCTCTATTTCCAGATGAAGACAGGCAGGTGTAAATTGTTTGAAAACGTATCACATATATTGAGTTTGTTGCTCGGCCCTTAGGTAGAGAAATTAAAGGCCTTTTAACACAAAATCTTAGCAGTTCTATTCTCCAAAATATAACCGAGTTTGGCTCTTTAACGTCTTATGAATCTTTACAAAACTAGCATCTGAAAAAGTTGTTATATAAATATAATCCGCATTGTGGATGACGTGAGGGATTAGCCAATGAAACGCTCTGTTACAGCGAGTTTTTGGCATGAGGTGCACGGAACTGTGGGTAACTCACTAGAAACATCAATGCTGATTGGTTAATCAAATGTCTGACGACATAGGGTCAAAAGCCACTCGTTTGAACCCTGACACAATCTTCCACTACAACCGATCAGATATTCATGTAGTAGAGGCCATCGAAAGCATAACAAACGAAACGAAATATGAGAGAGAGAGAGAGAGAGAGAGAGAGAGAGTTTAACGTCCACTCAACACAAACTAGGTCATTTCGGGACTAACATATGGTTTAATTTTATTTCAATAATTCACTTGCACGTAGGGGTCTTTAGCAGTGGCAGGAAACCGGAGGACCCGGAGAAAACCCACGAGGCTGGACAGGCGACCCTACTCCTTGTCACTTACAACCAGGGAATCGAAACCACGCCAGTTGACTCAATGACAGACTTTATGATACAGCGCGCACACACTAACCATTCAGCCATCCAACCCCCGGAAACGAAATGAAATACAGATCTGTATTTTGATCAGATAGACGCAATGCAGTGTGCTACGATTTAAATTTTAAACAGATTTCCAACTGTCGCAGGAGTTGGGAGGCCGAATGGTTTAACGAGAGAGCGAGAGAGAGAGAGAGAGAGAGAAAGAGAGAGAGAGAGATGGGGTTTAACGTCCACTCGACACAAACTAGGTCATTTCGGGACTAACACATGGTTCAATTTTATTTCAATAATTCGAAACCCCGCCAGTTGTATCAATGACAGACCGTATGATACAGCGCACACGTGCTAAACATTCGGCCATCCCCCCCCCCCTCCCCGAATGGTTTAATGAGTTTGTCTTAGATCATAAGGTCTGTCACTGAGTCAAGTGGCATGGCTTCCATATATGGGTGTAAAAAAAGCAGAAAAGTTACGAACCTGTAACATATTAAGATCCAGCGTTGCCATGTGATTTAACATTCGTAAGCCAGTAATCGTGATGGTCAACGTGTTCGCTGGCAGATCTGGTGGCGCCGCTTCTCCTCGTATTGAAGCTCCTGAATGTAACAACATCCCATATAACAACGTAACGATTCCAACCAACTCTGTAACTTCAAACGTAGTTATCAGCTGTGATGGGTCGTCAGCTTTCTTTTTATCAAATAAATTGGTGTTTCTGAAAAAATAAAAAATACCCAAATTTACAGATACAAATAAATTGAATGAAATGAAATGGGGTTTAACGTCCTACTGTTCTGCTCCGAACTGGGATAATGAAGATGGGCATACGCCATATACAGTGTGTTATGATGGAAATTTTGCCCGGGTAGCGGCACTATTGTCTACTCTTATATCAAAATTCCAACTGCCAAGGGATCTTTTACGTGCACGCCAATGTATACACGGGACCTCGGTTTTTCGTAACCATCCAAACGACTAGATAGCTGTCCTTGTCAGGCCCTCTGTCCTGCATCACTGACAAGAGGAAACCACGTCGGAAAATCCTGATGAGATACAAATAAAATCAAAGTGTGTACGTATGTATGTTCAGTCATCACACTTCGTGGTATAAAATAAACCAGTATGAATGTTTTAGGCCATCAAATTTGGGCCGTGGGCAAATCAAGCTTTCAATAATTTTCTTGCGCTTAGGGGTCTTTAGCAGTAGGAATAAACCGGAGGACCTGGAGAAAACCCACGAGTTTGAACAGGTGACCCTACTCCCTTTCACGTACAACCAGGGATTAGAAACCACGCCAGTTGGCTCAATGACATGCTAACCATTGGCATTCCAACCCCCCAGATGAATCATGCTTCGTCGTCCTGCTTCACCCCCACATATGTAGTATGAAATCACCCAGCATGATTCCATGAATTATAATCAATATCTGATATTTTGAACTTTGTGCTGGACATGTATTAAGAATATCAATAAAATTGGTGACATATAAAATGGCAGGTGCCTTATATCCAGCCTTGTATAAATTGATAAGACAAGAATATATAGATAAAACTAACAAAATGAAACAGGGTTTTATTGTTCCATTAAGCGCCAACCCATCTAACGAAGAAGGGCATACGGTATGCAAGGTGCTATGAGGGAAATTTTGCATAGACAGGTGCATGTTATGTCTTAAAATCATAGGTTATTAGAACTAATATGGGGGCCCCTCTAATATCGGGGCCCCTGGCTGCAGCCTCTCCATCCCCCCCGCATCCCTTTAATCCAACCCTGCCGGTTGATCAATTGAAACGAACCAAAGAATGAATAATGTTTATAAAGTACTGTATATATTTGATGTTTTCAATTTATTATAGAAATTGATTGTATCATATGACATCAGTTACTGTAAACTATTATACATAAATATTGGATGTAAAAAGGAAAACAAACATCTATTGTTGAGGATCTGGTTCTATGTGAATCTATTTGATTATTGTAACACAATTCATTTTCTCGCAAATCACACGGAAATAAGGTAAAACACAAGTACAATGTCCTTATTTTTAAAGGGAACAACCCTTTCTTATCAGAGAGAGAGAGAGAGAGAGAGAGGGAGGCTAGGTCATTTTGGGACTAACATTTGGTTCAATTTTATTTTGATAGTTTTACTTGCGAGCAGGGTACTTTAGCAGCAGGGCTGTCGGTAATTTTTCACGGTTGATTAGCAGCACTGCTAATCAAAAAGTCCAATTTTGCAAATTTGATTAGCAAATTTAAAAATTGATTAGCAGTTTTTCAGTTTCAACATAAAACACCTAAATAACAAGATATTACTTTAGTTCATAACAAATATGATTAGATTCCATTCTTAGATTTTTTAGCACTGCCACAAGTATTTGTGATAGTTTGTGAATGTGATGTAGACATTTAGTTGGGTTTTATGTATGAAGCCAATTTTTGACAATGACTTCCGAAGCCCCAATCATTTTAATTGTTATTTTTTCGTTACGTTAGAAATCTTCGTTAGAAAACAATTTCGTCTGCTTTTTGTCGTGTATTACTATTTTTGTTCAATCGGTCGCACCTCGATTAACTAGACACACGCGATATAAACAATAATATTTTACGGGAATTTTTACTTTGATTTATCATTTTACAATACGTTAACATATATTTATTTTTTTATATTTTATTTACAATACGTGGGGGAACACTGGATTTATTTCTTTCAAAATGAATACGATATAATTACTTGATGTCTCACAACGTGAGTGGTACAACTTGATTCCCTATTTCCGGTTTAATAGTCCCTATTCATAGAGTTATGTCCCTGTATTATATAGTACCGTATAATGAATTGTGTCTGGGTAGTTTGAGAAGAAAATGTCACACGGAGAATTGAGTTTTGTTTATAAAATTTTATTCAACATTTTATACACGTTGAAAGTGTTGAGGAAGCCTTCTAGTCTTCAAATGTGGATTATCCTTGTGTCAATATCCAAAATGACAGGCATATTAATGATTCGCAGTTACTGCGAATCAAAAACTTTAGATTTTAATTTTTGATTAGCAACGGACAAAATATGCATCGCAAATTGCGCTGCGATACTGGTTGTCGGCAGCCCTGTTTAGCAGTGGGATTAAACTGGGGAACATGGGAAAACCCTTGAGGTTGGACAGGTGATTCTACTTTCTAGCGGGGTTGGAAAGAGAGAGAGAAATGGGGTTTAACGTCCACTTGACACAAACTACATCATTTCAGGACTGACATGTGGTTCAATTTTATTTCAATAATTCACCTGTGCGTAAGGGTCTTTAGCAGTTTGAGGAAACCGGAGGACGTGGAAAAAACCCACAAGGTTCTAGCTAGGTATGACAGGTGACTCTACTTCTTGTCACAAACAAGCATGGGCTCGAAACCTTACCACATGACTCAATCACAGACCTTATGCATTAGACTATTAGGCCACCCAACTCTCCATAACGAGATATACAGAAATATGAAAAAGACGTTTATTCCAATGGTCGTGAAGTAAGAAATCGATACTTAAAGATACATTATGTAAGATTTAGATAAAGAACTAGCCATTCTTGCTATAATAGTTCGAAAGTAGATATGTAAAATGAATAATTTGAAAATTTCATTCAAATTACTCTATGGCAAGCGAAGATATTAGCCTTTGAAGGTTTGACAGACGTGTGCAATAATTTCAACCACCGTACTGGTTGATCAAATCTAAGCCTCGGTCCTCCATATTGATTAAATCAAAGTACCGCTGAACCATTCTAATCTATTTAATATCGGAAAAATCTGATGCCATCGAGAGTTAATTATGGCCTGGATCAGTTAATTAATGTCTAATTAATACTTTAGAAAAAATTTCAGGCCTAAAGAAAGACCTGCAATAGGCAGATTTATCTCTTGCATAATGCATGTTTAAAATTGGAATGAAATGTTGCAGAGTACTTAAACATACATTATGCAAGGGCTAAATCTGCCTATTGCAGGTCTTTCTTTAGGCCTGAAATGTTATCTAAATTATTAATTAGACATTAATTAACATGAAAAGACAATAATCAACTCTCAATGGCATCTTATGTGTCAGATTTTCACTGGATTTGAATCCGATTTGCTGTTCAACGCTCATTGATGATTTAATCCAAAAATGGATAATCAAGACTATGTTTTTTATCATACCTACTTCAGTAATGATGATCGAGGCTAGGCCTAAAATTAAAACGCTTATATCTTGGTTCAGAGTGGAGCATCAATGGTCACCTGTACCATTAACCTGTAGCCACACCTTTAACGAGAAACTCCTCAAACAACCCTCATAATAAACTAAATATTTAACGATCACAAGATGGCCATGATGTTGACAGATGCATTAGATATCGGACGAGATTTCTATATACAGGAAATGAGTTCTGTTCCGTCATACTTATTCCCAACTTAACAATTCAGTTGGAATCAATAAATGACCTTTTTTCTGTACCGAAATTGTTACTCATTAGACGAAAATTAACCAATAGATTTGATTGTCTGTGATTAACCCCTTACCATTTAATGAACACCTCTAATACTCTTCAATCGTGAACTTGTCATCGGCAACTTCATCATTTAGTCAGACAGACAATTAATACCTTGTTGTATATTGTTCTACAATTGTGATTAATAATTTGTCCCCGTTACCTGTAATAGTAGTTAAAATGGCGGCACAGGTTAACGAGCAATTATAACTCGTAAAACTTTACCAAGCGTATAAACGGTATTTGATATTCTGTTAAATTTCAGCTCAGAAATCAATACTGGATAAGAGAAGAGATAAACCTTGTAGTCTTCGACATCTAGTTTTATGACTAGCTATTGATGATGTTCGACCAACTGTGAACGGGGAAACAATAAACTAAGAATTATCAACAGTGCCGATTATAAAAATCACGGTACACGACCATTAATATAAAGAATAGTTTGCAGGTAGACAATAGCACACGATTGGTTGTGACAAACGATGACACGTCTCTCTTAATCAAACTGAACCATTCTTATGTTTAATATTTTCGCTAGATTCAATCACGGTCACAAGTAGAATGAAAACAAAACAGGGATAAAAACCAAACACTGGATCTAGGGAGAGGGAATATGAGTATGTACATTCTATACAATCAGATATGAGTGTGCGTCCGTGATTATTTTACAAATATTGAATTTGTTTCGCCATGCGACTAAAAACTAAAGCACGAGTCAGTCCACTGTGTTTATTTTTACCTGTGGATCAATCGGACAAATACCTGACGAATTGCCCTCAGGCAATTATTTTGTAAATAAATCAATAGGCCACCAGATCAATCAGAATGATAGGATATAGGAGTTATATTCTATCCCGTCCCATGAGAGAAACGGCTTTCATGTATTCCTCGTCACATTCTAGTGTAACATCACACCAACGATTTCTGATCAAACAATATCAATTTTTGAATATTTGCATGAAATCTTTGGACGTCATCAGATATTACATTTTGTATTATAATAAAACATTATCATCAGAAACGCTAAAAAGAAAATTATAGAAATTTATTTGTTATTTCGGAAATGTAAGCTTATTCTTTTGTACCAACTAGGCTGATGAAGATGGACATATGCCATACAGTGTACTATGGGTGGAATGGGTTATTTAATATTTTACGTGCACGTCAACGTGCGAGCTATACAGAACCTGTTTTTCATCCCA